AAGTGCACACTTGCATACCTGCAAAGATATGACATAAATGGGTAAATAAATGTGGGATTTTCAGGGCAGGGAAAAACTCCCATACCCATCAACCCCCAATTATGCTTTTTGAGGCTCTGAAAAAAGAAACCGAGGACAATTGAAAAAGGCTAGCAATTGGAATGGAAAGGAGACAACATGAGTTCTACTGCAGGGGACACTGGGATGCATGCTGGAACCAGTTGAAGGACTGAGAGAAAAGGAGGAGGAGAACAACCCAGGCCCAATTGTCTGTTGGGCACATCTTATATTATTCAGTCAACAGCCAACGCTCACCATGGCTTACTTGCAGGATAGCTTAGCATAATGTGAGAGAGCCTGCCCTTTGCCTCATCTTCCAGCTAAGGACCATGCACTGGGTGGGTCTGCACATTACAGAAAGCCACCCTGTGAATCACCCATGCAGCGTGGATTGTTGGGGAACAACCAGTGCTGTGCCTGACAGACTTGGCTCAGTATGGCTATCTCCGCCTCTCCAGCCCCCTCAATCCTCCAGCTGATCTCCCAGTGTCCTTCAAAGAGCCTGTTTTGTCTTTCCACCCTGATTACACTCCCTTGTCAGCAGGGTTTCTCCTCCCTTCCCTTTTTTGATTGTTTTAATGCTTTTTGATGGTTTTGTTTTGTTTTACAAACTACAATTGAGATTGGGTTTTGTTTTGGGTTTTCCTCCATGTCCCCTTCAGTTGCATCAACAGGGCAGTTTTTAGAACTGTCAGGGATCCTCAGAAACTGCAGCAGCAGGTGCTTCAGAACCAGGGTGGAAGTTAATATCCCCCTTTCTCAGCAGTTGGAAACACAGGATATCTTGAAATGATAGAGGACAGTGGAAACCGTCTGGTAAAAGTCAGAGGATCACATTGCTGGGGGAGTCAGTAATATTGTCACTTTTGGTGCATCTATTTTCACCATACAATGGTGTGCAAATTACCTTTTATGAAGGTTAATCCAATTCCTATGCTATTTCCCTTTGAAAGCTGAAATTTATGAGGCGATTGCTGAAAGACACACTATCTGATTCTCACAACCCACAATGAAATTATTCTGCAAGGTTCAAGTAACACCACCATCCATTCAACAACTTCTCGAATGTGCTGCCTCATGTCTTGCAGCTCCAAAATGGTTCCCACAATGGGTTCTTGTGTCATGAGACCCAGAAATTTGTGCAACTTTTGAAGAGCGCTATAATCCACAAACATTTCCCCCCACAATGAATCTGTTAATCTTTACGGTACCACAATACTGTTGTTTTTGCTGTAATAGATTCCACTGCTGCCCCATGCAGTGCTTGCTATTATAATTGCAAAAGTGGCTATTTTTTATGGTTACTTCAGCCAAAGTGAAATATTTACACAGAAGGTAAATCCATGTAGAACACAACAGGCAATTAGTATGCAGATCATTATAGAAGACAGATGTGCATCATGGATTGTGAATTTACACTGTGCTTGCATGGACTAGGAAGGCAGGAAGAAATCACTGTGAATATTAGCCTCCCTCAACCTCATGCCTGCCAGGTGTGCTCGATAGCAACTCCCATCATTCCCAGTCAGCATGGCCAGTGAAGGAGGCCGCTCATGTGTCATTGTGTGTAGGAATTTTGTCTTGTGTATGGTGGTGCAGAGATCCAAGTTATATATATAAACAATTGATAAGCTTTTCATAGAGTCAGTTGTGCTAACAGGGAGGCATACAAGCTTTTGAGTGCTATGGAAAAAGTGCTATGCTGCAGGAAAATGTACTGCCAGCAACTTTGCACCTGTGTTCTACATCTTTTTTTTTTCTTACACAGTGGCCTTAGGTAGGTATTAGGCCAAGTTGACTTTCACCAACTATCTAGTTGACTAGCTCCTCACACATTTCCTTGGTGACATCGAGTGAAAGTGACATGAAGTCGTCATATTCTGATTCAGTTCTCCTTCTCCAATTCATGCGTTCTTTTTCCTATAAATTGCTATGTGGACGTGGTGGGGGAGGTGCAAATGAGCAGCTTTCTTTGCAACTTACAGTTAGGCTTAGAAATAACCTTTGGTTTGGCAACGGGGAGTGTGCGCTGTCATTTCTAAACCATAGCATGAGTGAAATACTGCAAGTACAGGGACAGTAAAAAAAACAAAACAAGAAGGAACCAAAGATAGTGCATAGATAATGAACACTGCAATTTTTCCTGTGCTTCAGTGATTATGTTGTTAGCATATCGTGTGCAAAACCACCCTGAAGGTCCAATACAAAATACTGTTCAGTCTTTCCCAAGCTGGTACCTTCCAGAGGTGCACAACTACAACTCACATAACCCCCAGTGGAGGTTGCAGTCCAACACACACAACATTGGACTCCAACTATCAATGGCTGTTCTGGCTAAGGATAATGGGATCTGTAGTCCAACACACCTGGAGGGCACCATGGCTGAGGAAGGCCAGTTGGATCTTATCTACAACTGATGTCATTGTGCTTACATACGGCAGATCTAGGGCTGAGTTTTCTAAGGCAGAGGTACAGAACCTGTGACCCTCAAGATGGTGATGGACTCCAACTCCCATCATCCTCAACCAGCATGGGAGGGAGGGATTTGTAGTCCAACACCTGGAAGGCCACAGGTTCCACACTCTTTTCTTAACGGGAAACTCCAGAAATAATAGCAATTGGGAGAGTGTGTTTTTTTAAAAAAAGGTGAGTTTCTAAAAAAGCTTTGAGCAGTTTTATTTTGACCTCTGAACATATGGCCCTCCCATATGATAACTCAATTCATTAATGTTTGTAAAGAGCTTCTGCCTTGTAAGTTCAATTTGAATGCTAAGCATTGCAGTAAAGTGATTATTTATTAAAAGGATCCTCAAGCAGAGGAGAAAGCCGAATTGAAAATATGGGATAATTTTATCATGTTATCTAGGACTGTGCAGAAGGAACTTGTCTGCTTTTACTATATGAGGAGAAATACTGTGATGCGTGTGCACCCTTCAGACTGCAGGTAGCAGGGAGAGTCTTGGTCTGAATGTTCTTCCATGCATAAAATCCCTGCCTGTAGAAAAGCAGTCAATCAGTGTGGGTTACACTGGTCATTCAACTTTTTAAATATTAAAAATATCCTACCTGCAGTTCTGGAAGGACTGCAATCTATGATATCTCTGCACAGATATCTCTGAGACAGATTTGCTCAGCCCAACCTACCTCACAGAGTTGTTGTGACGATAAGAGTGAGTGCAACAGAAGAATAATGTAAGCCACTTTGAGCTTGGTGTAAGAAAAAGCAGAACATAAATTTAATAAATATCTCAAAGGAAACAGGCATGCAAAATCAGAGAATTTATGCTGTTCTCCTGTTTATCATGGTTTCTCTATGAATTAAAGTTCAAATTCTTGCATGTGTGAATGAGAAACTATTCCTAGCATAAGAGATAGCAGATTCCTTGGGCCAAATGTAAACTGCTGTCCCTCAAAATGGATGTACAAGATCAAAGCCTTCCTCTCTTTGGGTGCCTTCCCAACACTGTGCTTTCATCTTGGACCATCTTGATAAGGTTAGCTAGAATCACCACCCCACACTTGATAACTTGAAATGCATTAAAAGAGGAAGGAAAACCCACTGTGTCTTTCATCATGCTGTAGCCAGCCTGATAATATGACTAAAGCAGCTGCACTTATATTGCACCATCCTATGTGACTTTGTTTTCTCCCCACCCGCTCCCCACAGATCCTGATAGACCGCTCTTTCTAGGCACTGCCACCTGCCAGGAAAGAGCAATCTATTCTAGGGTCCTGGATGTGGAAAGAAGGCTTTCCATTTCCTTTTCTAGAGATCCTTATACACATCACTCTTTCCCTGCTGCTGTTGGCAGTGACTGTGTGCACACACACAGATGAATATATGCCCTCAGGACTGAAAAGTTGAGCACCTCAATTTAAATATATGACTAACAGTGCAGACTGATGTACCTTCAGAGGAAAGTCCCAGTTTTCCATAGGACTTACTGCCAGGTAAGTGACTATAGGATTGCAAGCTGCCTCCCACTTGCCTGGAAGTAAACTGTGTTAAACCCAATAGTGCTGAATACATTCATATAGGAATGTTCTGTAAACTACACGACCAAGTAACTAGACTACATATAAAACCCTTGCATTAATAACTCTGGTCTTCTGTTGGCACAAATGGTAAGCAGGTAGAAGGATAAGCCCTGCTGGAAAAAGGCTAAACATGGCTTCTACAAAGATAAGTCGACTCTTACTAACCTTTTCGGGTTCTTTGAAACTGTTAATAAACGTGTGGATAGCAATGATGCTGTAGATATGGCTTAACTGGACTTCCAAAAGATTTTTGACAAAGTCCCTTACAAAACACTTGTAAGAAAACTTAGTTCTCCTTAATGAACTTTTCTCCTAGTCCCATAATGCTAGAGCCTGGGGTCAACATAAGAGACTGATTGGTGGGAGATTCAGGACAGATAAAAAGAAGTACTTCACTTGGCAGATAGTGAAACCATGGAATTTCCACCACAAGATAAAGTAATGGCCACCATTTTGGAGGGCTTTAAAAGGAAACTAGACAAATTCAGGGCCGTATGCATATACAATTCACACATGTGTAAGTGTCACTTGTTCTCTGATCATCTAATTATACTTGCTACCTCAAAATTGCATGAGTGGATGGATTCCTTGAAATGAAATGATGAAGGTGTGGTCTTAGGTTTGTGGTGACTGCTCCATTCACACACAATACAGTAACCACTGAAGAGCAAACATGCCTATGCAAACCAGCTCAAGTCCCACATACTCAAATCATGCTTTTTTGTCTGTCTACATGTGCACAGAAAATCTGCAGTCTAGTTTTGTCTGCACTGAATAAAATGGGTGCTGCATTTAACCATTGGTATCAGGCCTGTTCACAAAGGGCTGCTGAGTTAAAAGCAGACCTCAAGTTTGCGCTGCACCAGGCCTTGCTGTGCCAAAGGAGTGGACCCGGAGCTTTGTCTCTTGTCATTTTTCAAAACACATCATTGCTATTTTATTTTCTGTTTAATCTGGTGGAGATTGGACAAAATGCAGTGAGAATATTGTGCAGAGGAACATGCAGTCTGCTTGCTTGCTTGCTTGGTCTCTACTGGGTGGAAACGGGTTGCTCTGTTTCGTGTCGGGCAGCATGCACACAGAGCAGGAGAGCAAAGTAATTCCAGGCCACTGAAGCTAAGCAGTGCTGCTTCTGTAAGCTGCCTTGGAAGAACACTGCTTGGGATCCATCTGGAAGAAGAGCAGGTGATATATAATAAGCACAAATATAGCATGATCAACAGGGGAAAACAGACACATCAACAAATAGTTCCCAACAATTGTGGGGAGCTTGACTTAAGCTGCAATCCTATGCAGCTAGGAATAATGCCCATGGAACTCAGCGAATTTACTTCTGAGCAGACAAGTATAGGATTGCACTGTTAGAGACCAGTTTTTAATCCGTTCACTTCTGCTGGGACTACTTGTTTGTTTGTTTGTTTAGAAAATTTCTAGGCTGCCCCATTCGCCGAAGCCTCGGGGCAGCTTACAAATAAATAAATTAATTAAAATACATAAATAACAATGTAAAATGCACATAACTGTATAAAATAAGTCGCCCTGGCCAACTTAATATCATTATGTCATACCGAGACATGATATTGGTGGTAAGCCCACGGTGCACCCCAGACAAGCACGCCTACTGTCTACCGGAGCTCCCATCACTCTCTAGTTGTATCATCGCACTGTGTCACTTCCCTCAAAGGCAAGGTCAGGCGGGCCTTCTTTGCCGTGCTGTGAAGGGGAAAAGCACTCTGCCCTCACACACCCCTCCAGGCTGGGGGCGGGTAAACCAACCTTCCTCGACAGGACCTCGCCCTGGGAGCTCTCCCGCATGCATGTTCACACCGCCTGCGTGCCATCTCGAGATATTCCTCCCCCCGCCCCCCACGATCCCAAAATAGCTCCAGGAGACCGCCTTGATAATTGCCTGATTGCAAGCCAGGCAGCACTCTAGCCGGATTACAGACTCCCTTCTACGGAGATGGGAAGGGGGCGAGGATCCGTGTCGCGTCCCCACGTCAAGAGCCAGCGTTACAGATTCGCCGCTGCGGCGACTCCAGGAAAGCCGAAGCAAGGCTGGGATGCTGGGAGACTAAGGGGACCCGCTGCCCCGCCCCGCCCCGGGTTTCGGGAGATCAAAGGGGCCTGGCCCACGGTGCTTTGTCAAGCTCCGGATTAAGCGAGGCAGGTCGGCTTTCAGGTCGGCACGCAAAGCTCCCAGCAGCGCGTCTCTAGGCCCCGCCCGCAGGGAGCTGCTGCAGCCCCGTAAGCGGGTTAACACGCGAACTGCAGCTGAAAAATACCTAATGCGGCCGCGGCAACCGCCTCCCAAGCGGACAGCTGGCGAAGGGGCCGGCGCTGACGCGCACGGGACGGCCGCGGCGAGAGGGACGGGCGCGGGATGGCCGCCCTCCCTTGCCCGCGGCGGGACGGAAGGCCCTCCCGGGACTGGAGGGGCCGCTTGATGCCTCGGCGGCTGCAGCCGGGTCGGGCTGGGCGCCGCTGTCCGCCACGGGAGTGCGCAGCGCGCAGGCAAAACGAGCGCCTCGTTTGCTGAAGTGCAAGGCGGTGCCGGGGCACGTAACCTGACAAGAAAGCCCTTGTCCCCCGAGGGAGCGGGCTCGCAGGTGGTGCTGGGGGGCAGTTCACCAGGGTGGACTCCGAATGTCTGGGAGACCGAATGCCCCACCTGCCCGCGGGCAATCGATGTAATAAAGGTACAGAGGCCAGAATGCGGGCCACCTGGATTATAATTGTATTTATATCCTAACTTTATTTCCCGTGGTTGAAAGGACCCCAAGGCGGCTCGTAAGATTCTCCTCTCCATTTTATTTTCACAACAATGCTGTGGCGGAGGTTAGGCTGGAGTCAGGGACTGGCCCCAAGGAGCTTCATAGCCTTGTGACTAAGTGCAACATTCTTAACACTGGATTTTGCCTATGAGTTTCACCCGCTGCTTTCCTTCCCCACTGAATCCTTCGGAGTCCCCCTCGCCCATCAGAGGCCCTCTGTCCCTGCCCTTACAACCCTTTCTACAGTAAGGGTGCTTTAAAGAGGCACAGCATACGCGAAATTGTGCATTGTACTTGCCCTGTAGAGCGGATTCCCAGACCTTTTAGCACCGCTTCTAACCAGGCTTACTCGGTAATAGGGGAGCCTCTCTGCACATGCTTAGAGGCCTTCCCAAAACCGTTCCACTCTGGGATCCAATACTGAATCCACTTGGACCTTTGTGCGCGTCATGGGATTTATTGTCAAACTTTGCCTACTAGGTCAGCGTCATCTCTTCACCCACACCCCCCCATGGCGGCGAGGATTTCCTTCCACCGCCCCACACAAAACTGATAAGAGCCACCGTGGTGTAGCGGTTAACCGTTGGGAGTTGTAACATCCCCTGCTTGCGAAGAGACTTTGGACAAGTCATTGTCAGCATAGCCTGAAGGATCGTTGTGAAGATAAAACTGGGGGAGTTTTTTTTTAATGAATGCTTCACGGGGTGGGGATGAATCAATCGCTAGTTCGCCCTGACGTCCGTATGAGCCCGAAAAAGTCGTGCAGTTGAATGCCTGACGGATCTCTGAGGATAGGATTCACACGCACCCACTGGCTTTATTTGGAAAAAGGGATCAGGAGTAGAATAAAAGACAAAAAAGACGGTACCCCTAACCATGTCCAGAACGCTTTGTCTTTCGCCAAGTGGATAAATCACAGCTGGCCCACGAGCCTAGCATGGGCATGATCGCCATATTTTCGTTCTGAACATGCGCGTGTGCCTTCTTAAGGGGCGCGCGACAGGTAGAAAGTCAACAGGCAGAGCTCCTGGCTGCCGACAGGCAAGGGAGCAAAGTGTCAGCACGTGCTGAACCTCCGCCTGCCCTGCTGCTCCGCACTGGCACAGAAACCTCCCTAGGACGGAGAAAGTGGTAATCCGGCGGATTAGAGCAGCTTTTCCGACCTGCGGTTGCGGCCGTCCTCCCACCCTGAGCCCGGGGACCGATTCCCAGCCCCTTCCTCACCACCAGCCCCATCCCAGGGAGGCTACCTGGCTTCTCAGAGAAACCGCTCCTGCGCTGGGTTGCGCTCCATGTTTGTGCCTCGCCTTTGCAAAAGAAAAAAGCTAAACGTGGCGCCGCCACCCCCTCCCTCCCGGCCTCTTCCGCACGGCCGCCGCCCGCCCGGATCGTGACGCGCGGCGAGACCGCGGCGTCTCCCTGCGGGGCCGAGTCGTGCCCCGCAGTGCCCCGCCGCTCCCCGCCCGCCAGGTCACCGCACCCGCGCCCTGCACGGAGGCCGCGTCCCTGCCGTGGGGGCGGGAGACGGATCGTGACGCTCCGCGGCCGGCCGACGTCCTCCCTCGCTGCGCCCCTGGGCCGGATCGTGCCCTGCGACGCGTCGTGCTGCGCGGGGCGGGCGCTCGGGCGGGGCCGTGCCCGGCGCCTTGCGTGCCGGGCCACGGCCTGTGCACTGGCTTGCGTGCGCAGCTGGCACGCAAGGCCAGCTGCCGCCGCCTTCTGGGCTCCAGGCTTGCGTGCTGCGACGGGATCGGCGGGGCGGGCGGCGGAGCGCGCACGCACGCACTTGCCGCCTGCCTCCGGCCCACACCCCGCCCCAGTGACCCCAGCGTCCTCTTCCTGCAACCGCCGGGCTGGCATGCAGCAGGTGCCGCGGCGGGGAGGAGGCGCTTAAGCTTCCTCTTAAGCCTCTGTTGCTCCCGCTTGCCAAAGGCGCCCAGCCCGGGGAGCCAGTCACGCCAACGCTTGCAAGGGCTGGGCAGGGAATGTTCTCCCGGAGAGTGCGGCAAGATCTGGGACGCGACGTCTCCTCCCGCGCGGCCCCCCCCCTTTGGCCAGGAAGGGCGATTGCTTCAGCCCGTCGGCCCAGCTCCTCAGCTCGCTTCCTTGGCTGCCGCCTCGCAGGCATGATTGCTCGGCAGTGAGTGAGAACGGCAAGCCCTGGAGAGGGTTCTCCCAGTGAGTCCTGCCTGTGGACCCTCCCCCGCCGACACGCGCGCGCGCACACACACACACACACACACACCCACCCAGGCGCCACCGTGGTCATCTTTTCGGCGACGGGTCAAGACTTCCCTGGCGTTTGAAAGCTTACCGGGGCTCTCCATGCCTGAGTGATTTTGTTGTTTTAGTTGTTTGGTTGTGTTTTGGAATTTTTAATAGGAATTGCTTTTGGCAGTTCTCTATTTTGTTACATTTGTTTAATTTGGATGTTGTCTGGGTCTTCATGAAAAGAAAGGTGACTACAGGCTGGGCTTGCCATTTTTCTGTCCAAACATGCATAGGATTGCACCCTAAAATAATAAAGAGTACCAAAATCAATGAGCCGGTTTACAAGACAACAGCCTGCTTAAATAAAAACGTTTTTGCCTTCCAATGGAAGGTTAACTTAGTCTCTTTGTGGAGAGTTCCAGGGTCTGGGAGTTGCCACCAAGAAGGTTCTGCATTGTGTCCCTGCCAAACACATCTTAGATGGTGGGATTAAGAAAAGGAGGGTTTCCCCTGAACATCTTGGATCCAGAGCTAGCTCATATGGAAGAAGGCAGGCTTTCTGGCAGCCACTCCCAAGTCATATAAAGAGCATCACCAGCACTTGGTCAAATGCCTTTGCTTCTCACTGCCCCTGGAAGCATGTCTGCTTGTGATGTATTCATTTAATTATTACATTTATATCCCATCTTTTTCTCTTGCAGGGAACCCAAGGCAGCTTACATGCACCTCTTCTACTTCTTTGTCCCCAGAACAACCCTGTGATGTAGGTGAGACCTAGTCAGGTCCTGGCCCTAGGTCGCCAGTCAATTTCATAGCCAATTGAAAACTAGAACCCTAGTTATCTCAGCCCCAGTTCAACTCTAACCAATCCACTATACTGCTACAATTACTGTGAAGTATTTCAAATATCACAACATACCCCTTTAAAATAGACTACATTTTTAGTTATTTAAATTTAACCTTGCATGTATCTAAGAAGGGGTTTTGGGTCTTAATAAAATTCTGACTTTCTTTAATCCCTTTGGCTTCCCCTGAACTTTGAAATAATGTCCCCATTTCCTATTGTTGCTGATAGAACTACCTATGGCTAAGACTTTGACTTGCAGCGCATTTCACTGGATGTACGTATGTTCAGCAAAATATGGGGAAAGGCTCTTACCTGGTTGGCTTTAACTCTCAGCACAATCTGTTGGATTTCAGCATTATGGAAATAGTTATAAACATGTGCAACCTGATCCTATCCTGTGCATGTTTACTGGGAAGCAACTGTTGCTTCATTAATTGGACTTTACAGGTAAATGGATTAAGTTTGCAACCTGGGACTGCAATCCTATATACATACTTATTCAAATAGATATGCTTAAGATTGTGCTTTTAATTATGTATTAGATAGAAGCTCTTCGTTGTAAAATAATACATGGATTGGGTTCATACAACTTGGGAAAGAAAATAATCCGCAAGAACATCCGTCCCCTGTCCTGTGCATGCCAGTCATATACTGCCTTATTTCCATAATTACCTGTGCTGTACATAGGTTGCCATGACATCTGAACCCAGCAAGGGTGGCTAGCAGGGATGGTTTCCAATCCTGGGCAGAACACTAGAACAAGCCATGGGTTGTGAGGTGGGGCGGAAGTCACCCCTTTGACTACCTAGTCAGGTTTGGATGTCATAACAACTTGTGCACAGTGTGGATAGTAATCAAAATGAAGTAGTGCATGACCAGCACAAATGGAATGGGGGGAAAGAAGCCTCTATGACTTATTTCCTTCCTCAGTCAGGCAAACCTGACTTTAATGAATGGCCCTACATGAATAAGACTTAGTTTGATGAATGGCTCTGCCAGAGTATTGCTATTTCCTGCATTCTGTGCTTGCTGAAAGCTTTTTATAATTCTGAATGGTAGCAGATGTTTGATCAAGAGTTGTATTATATAATGAATCTATCAGCAGTAAGGAAATCAGCAGCACACTTTGTCTCATTAGTTAGCTATGGGAGTTTAAAATGGAAT